TTATTTTATAATTTAATTTAATTTTACATATCAGCCATGGATTCCCCTGTCCTCACTCCTCCAGCAACCCTCCCCTTTCCCCCAGCCCACCCCCCATTCCCATCTCCTCCAGGGCAAGGACTCCCCTGGGGATTCAGCTCAACCTGGTAGATTCAGTCCAGGCAGGTCCAGTCCCCTCCTCCCAGGCTGAGCAAAGTGTCCCTGCATAGGCCCCAGGTTCCAAACAGCCAGCTCATGCACTAAGGACAGGTCCTGGTCCCATTGCCTGGGGGCCTCCCAATCCTTTCAAGTTAATCAACTGTCTCGCTTATCCAGAGGGCCTGATCCAATTGGGGGTTCCTTAGCTATTGGTTCATAGTTCATGTGTTTTCCACTAGTTTAGCTATTTGTCCCTGTGCTTTTTCCAATCATGGTCTCAACAATTCTTGCTCATACAATCCCTCCTCTTACTTGCCGATTGGACTCCCGGAGCTAAACCTGGAACATGGCTGTGGATCTCTGCATCTACTTCCATCAGTCATTGGGTGAGAGTTTTAGCATGACAGTTAGGGTGTTTGGCCATCCGATCACTAGAGTAGATCAGTTCGGGCTTTCTCTCGACTATTGCTAGTAGTCTATTGTGGAAATATCTTTGTGGATTTTTGGGGACCTCTCTAGCACTTTGCTTCTTCCTATTTCCATGGGGTCTTCATTAATCATGTCTCTTTTTCCTTGTTCTCCCTCTCTGTTCTTGATGCAGCTGGGATCTCCTGCTCCCCTAAGCTCTCTTTCCCTTGACCTTGCCCTTCATTACCCCCCCACGTCAAGTTTGCTCATGTAGATCTGATCCATTTCTCTGTCATTGGGTGATCCCTTAGTCTTTATTAGGGTTTTGTTTTCTAGGTAGCCTCCCTGGAGTTATGAGTAGCAGTCTAGTCATCCTTTATTTTACATCTAGTATCCTCCTATGAGTTAGTACATACCATGTTTGTCTTTCTGAGCCTGGGTTACCTCACTCAGGATGATTTTTTCTAGATTCATCCATTTGCCTGCCAACTTCATGATGTCATTGTTTTTCTCTGCTGAGTAGTACTCCATTGTGTATATGTACCACATTTTATTTATCCATTCTTCAGTTGAAGGGCATCTAGGTTGTCTCCAGGTTCTGGCTATTACAAACAATGTTGCTATGAACATAGCTCAGCATGTGCCCTTGTGGTATGATTGAGCATTCCTTGGAATATACCCAAGAGTGGTATAGCGGGGTATTGGGGGAGATTGATACCCAGTTTTCTAAGAAAGCACCATATTGATTTCCAAAGTGGCTGTACAAGCTTGCATTCCCACCAGCAGTGGAGGAGAGTTCCTCTTGCTCCTCATCCTCTCCAACATAAGCTGTCTTCAGTGTTTTTGATCTTAGCCATTCTGACAGGTGTAAGGTGGTATCTCAGAGTCATTTTGATTTGCATTTCCCTGATGATTAGGGATGCTGAGCAATTCCTTAAATGTCTTTCAGCCATTTGAGCTTCCTCTGTTGAGAATTTTCTATTTAGCTCTATATCCATTTCTTAATTGGAGTGTTGGGCATTTTGATGTCTAATTTCTTGAGTTCTTTATATATTCTGGAATCAGCCCTCTGTCAGATGTGGGATTGATGAAGATCTTTTCCCCTTCTGTAGGCTGTCGCTTTGTCTTCTTGACTGAGTTCTTTGCTCTACAAAAGCTCTTCAGTTCCAAGAGGTCCCATTGATTGATTTTTTCTCTTAGTGTCTGTGCTACTGGTGTTATATTTAGGAAGTGATCTCCTATGCCAATGCATTCAAGACTACTTCCTACTTTCTCTGTTATCAGGTTCAGAGTAGCTAGATTTATGTTGAGTTCTTTGATCCACTTGGACTTAAGTTTTGTGTATGGTGACTGATATGGGTAGTGAAGATAATCCTTTTATTGATACAACATGAAAATTTGAAAACTAAGAAGAAAAAAGATATGATTTCACATTATGAGCCAATCATTAGATTATAAAAATAAGAAAGATAAGAGTGTTGTAGAAATTATATAGATATATAAATTAGTATATATATATGTATATAAAGGTTTAAAATAGATTGTAGTATAATTTGAAAAGAATTTTAGTTTTGCTTATTATAAGTTAAGAATTAGCCTTTTAGATTCTAATTGTCTGGGGACAGTGATGATGAGGAAACATTAAAGACATCTCCTAGTTTGCCTACTTAAACTTTTTCTACTTGCTCCAAGAACTGTGATCATGGAATTTTATGATTATAACCTCAAAGAAAGTTTTGGTTCATGTTTGGAAAATAGTCATGTATTAGATATTTTTTAAAATGCAAGTAT